GGCTGTGAGAACACGCGTGGTGCCCAGTGCTGGCCTAGGGCATCAYGTTGGGCCACTAGCATCCACTTGGCTGGAAGCCCAGGGCTGCAGGCACTCAAGCCCACAGCTGGACGGCTCTCAGCCCTGGCGTTGCTGGACACAGGACCCGGGGCATCCTGCATCCAGGAGAGTGCTTACCACCGAGCTGCCCCCTGAGCCCCTGGCTTTGCTCTAACRGTCATCACTAGCTGACCTATCGGCTCCCAGCAGTGGTCCTTAAACATCACTGAGTGAGTTCAGCAGTGGCCTTGGGCACCCACCTGGATTTTCCATGGTGGGACCTTGARGCGGGGGACATTGCTGCCACTCCTTTGTCCCCATGGGGAGAGACATAGTTACCTTTAAAGGGAGCTTTTCCTCCCCAAGACCCTCTGGGCCCCAGGACCCCTGCACCGCACAGGAAAGGGCCAAGCGGCACAGGCCTGAGCGCAGGCCCCTGCCACAGCTTCTAAAATAACCACAGCGCAGAAGGCTGGGGACGGGTTGGGGCTTATATTTGGAATCGCTGTTGGAAACAGTCCTGGCCAAGTGTCACACCATCTGTTCCAGTGGCTTGGGGAAGGAAAAGGGGTGGCTTGGCAGGAGGGGGCTGGGCAGTCCCCAAACTCAGGGCTGTCCGGGCGTCAGCTCCGCTGGGCCCCACCCTGCCCCAGAGCTCTCACCCCTCCAACCTCAGCTGCTGCTGCCACCGCCAAGGGCCACTGCCTTTTATGAAACGGGTCTTTGTTCCTGAATCTTCTACCCACTGGTCAGTCCTTCGGGAGGACAGAGGGGGTCTCCTTCCTGCCGAGTCTCTGCTTCCCCAGGGGAATMCTCTCTTTGTCCTTCACCATCTGGCACCCAGCTCCACAGGCTCTTGCCTATACTTTTGGGCCCCTTCGTGCCTGTCACTTTGCTCCACCCTCCCATGTTCTCCTCGCCTGTGTCTCTATTAATGCATCCCAAGGGTGCACGGGTGCTCCTGCCATGCTGTGGTGGTTCATCAGGAGCTTGAGTCGGCCGTACGCCTATGTATTTTCCACATTGGTCTCYTTCCCCTAGTTCATCTTCGTGCGGTTGATTTTAAAGACTAAACTGTGGATGTTAGGTCTGTCTCTTTGTATTAATTGTTTGTGCCTGTGTCTGCTCCAGCTTTTTGCCATCCTTCCCAACATTTTCTTTTTTTTTTTTTTTTTTGTTGGGGAAGGGTATGTACTGGGGACTGAACTCAGGGGCACTCGACCACTAAGCCACATCCCAGCCCTATTTAGTATTTTGTTTAGAGCAGAGTCTCACTGAGTCGCTTAGCGCCTCACTTCTGCTGAGGCTGGCTTTGAACTCACCATCCTCCTGCCTCAGCCTCCCGAGCCTCTGGGATTACAGGTGCGCACCACCGCGCCTGGCTCTTTAGCCTGATTCTCCAGGAGGACCTAGAGTGCTCYCTGAAGGAAGGGCCCTTTTCTGTGCTTGCCTCCTTTGGGGTCCCTGGTGGGGACTCTGGCCACTTGGCCAGAGTCCTCTGCACACCTGGGGCCGCTGTTCCCAGGTCTTGGGTGGGAGAGTGCTGTTGAATCAACAATCCTTTGTTTCCCCTGAGATTGGGTTTAGAATCTCTTCATTCCCATGGGCTGTTTAACAAATCGCCTCAACCTTGGTGGCTTAAAACAACAGAAATGTGTCCCCTCCCAGTTCAGGAGACTGGAGGTCTGAAATTAAGATGCCTGCAGGGTTGGTTCCCTGGGGCGGCTCTGGGGAGTGTCTCCCCCAGGCCCCATGCTGCCAGTGACTTCCAGTGGTCTCCATGTCCTGGCTGCTGGCTGCACCGTGCTGTCCTCCTGGGTCCCACATGGTGTTCCTTCTCGGTTTCACCCTGAACCCATATGATCCCATTTCAACATCCTCAACTTAATTAYACAAGCAAGGACCCTGTTTCCCAATAAGCTCACAAACCCAGGTACCCGGATTAGGACATGGACGAGTCTGTAGTTATATTGAACCTGCTACAGAATCTGGGTTGGGAGGTGGTGGCCWTCTGTTATGGGGACTCGCGTCTGCTCGGGTGTCTGCCGATGGGGCTGGGTGTGGAGGACCCCGGTGTGGGCCCCAGCAGTGATGCCCAGGGACTCTCGAAGCCCAGCCCGTCTGTGGGCAGACCTGGAGGGGACTGAGGGCTTCTCACCCTGCCGAGGAGGTAGTGCCCTGCCTGGTCAGGGTTATGAGTTCACCTCAGCACCCCCCAGGCAGATGAAAACCTGCAGTCCCTCCTGGGGGTGCACTCGCCTGGGACGCTGGACACGTCCCAGGTGTCTCTGGGGAATTGTATGCAATCAGAGGCTTTTTCATGAATTTATTTTGTATCTAAAATTGAGGCCAGTTTACATACTCTTGTTTTATTTATGAGCCCWATGTCCACAAGAAATGTTATTACTACAAGGGGAAAACCTCTCAGTATGGAAACCTTGAGCCAGTGATTGCATTTTTCTGATGGGACTTAAGTGATGGAAATCTAGTTCCAGCAAACCCTTCGGGTAGCTCTGAGGCATCCTTGGGGAGAGCTCCAGGCTCAGGCTGGTACGTGGCGTTTCATTAACAGTTGGAGAGGCGTCTGTGAACTTTCACTGACATGGTGGCTCGGGCTGCACCCAGACACGGGACTGATTGGGGTCTTTGCAAATCTGATTTGGGCCTCCGTCAGTCAGCCTGTGGGCTCTACCTGTGCCCCACCCTGCAGGGTCCTGGGCAGGATTTCAGGGGTGTTGCGTGTCATGATTTTGAAGGACAGTAGCACAGCTGGTGTGGCAGTGGACTGATCATGGGACAGTGCCTGTGGGATCTGGTGGGCCAGTCTTTTCACCAGTTCCTGAGCGTGTTTAATGACTCATTTTGAGACAAATCCTATTGGGGTTTGGGTCTGACCAGACTGAGATCAACAAGATGCCAGTAGGGTGTGCTTGGGTTCTCGGCAACCTGTGGGCATCTGCCAAGCATCTCCAGGCCTCAAAGGGGCCTCCTCTGTGGACACTGGAGCGGGAGAGGCTCTCAGGGGATTCAGAGGTGAGAAAGACCTGCTCCTGCCCCCAAGAAGGGCATGGCAGTGGGGGAGAAGTAAGGGTGGTGAGAAGGAGCCCTGTGGCCAGCCAGCGAGGCTTCTGCTTCTGCAGGGGTGTGTGAGTCCAGGTGAAAGTGGGGGAGAGGGGCTGGCAGAGCAGCAGTTCACCCCCAGACACATGTGCATAGYGAGACTGGCTGGCTGGCCTGCCTGGGAAGAGGTGAGCCAGGACAGGGGCTGGGGCATAGACAGCAGGGAGCTGAGGAGAGAGAAGCCCTGTGCGCAGGCCTGGTGCCACTCTGAGGTTGGCCAGCCACTTGTCCCAGGTGGGAGCCACAGCGGGGGCCAAAGGATCGGGCAGAGCTGCCGGGCACTGGAAGGCGTGTGCCAGAAGAGAGGAGGATAAACCCCTGGGGGAACGAACAGCAGGAATCGYGAAGGCCGGAGAGGGGACGTCCTGGCCCTCTCTGCAGCAGAGACATAGAAAGATCAGGAAGCTCACAACCTGCAGTTCCCATTGGAGGCAGCTCCTTGGCCGTCTGCAGTAAGGGAGAGAGAGAGGCTCCACCAGGGCTTCTGCCAGGCTGGAAGTCCCTAGGGGAAGAGAGAGATGGGGTTCAACCTGGAATGCAGCAGAAAAGGTGATTTTACAGCCAGAGAGTGGAGGGTGGAAAGTCACTAGGGAAACTTAAGGGAACGGGGTTCTGCCCCAAGTCGCCAGTTGGAATCTTGCTGAAGACAGGCCAGGAGATCAGACATCCCGCAGCGAGGACCCTGATAGTGTGAAAAGGGTGATTCAGTATGGGGGTTGGGAGATTCTGGCTAAAACAGCTCAGCATTGCCTGAAAAACAAATTTCAGCAGCCTGGGTTTAAGGATCCAATCAGCTCTTGTGAGTGGAATTCTTGGATGGAGCAGCGTTTGTTCTGGTAATAGCCAGGCTCCCCGAGAAGCTGAGCCCAGGGGTGGGTACSACAGGCAGAAGAAGAGTGTCGAAGCAGCAGAAGTGGGGAGGGGGTTGGTTACTCCATAGACTCTTTCTGCTCAGGCTCAGGTGGACTGAACCCCTTTTGCTTTTGATTGGTTGCTGGGAGTCCACTCTGTTTTGGAAAACCAGCCTTTTCTAGCCCAGTTTGATCACCAGGCAGCTGGCTGGAGGACTGCATTCTGGTTTGGTCTTTGTTGAGCCTRGGGCAGAAGCTTAGCCCCAAACAATGGCCTCCCCTGTCTTTTCCTTCACAGAGGAGTTCCACTAAGATAGGGTGACCAGACAGAGATGGGTGGCCAGAAGTGGAGTCTGGTCAAGGAAGACCACCAGCTCCGGTGGCCAGTGTGGGCAGGGGTGTGGGTGAAGTCCCTGGAGAGAGCAGGCCTTCGTGGATACCCAGCCTGCAGGTGTTCGCCTGCCATGTGCAAGTTCCTGGAAGTTGGGTTAAAAACAGGTTCCTGTGAACCTAGGAGCACACATTTAATACTTTTAGAAAACTGTTTGGAATGCCTTTGAGAAGAGCCAGGAGTTTCAGAGGGGCCCGTGATACTGCAAGCGCCCTGTGTTCCTCCAAGAGGAGAGAGGATGGGAAGGAGYGTCACCGTTTTCATGGTGTCTTTTTGCTACTGATCATTTCTGTAATGGGGTGTTGTAAAATCAGAGCCTCGGCCTGAGGGGGCTTGGGGTGGCGGGAAGCCTTGCAAATCCTGCTGGTGGTGGTTTGGGGCCAGCGTGGACCTGTCTGGTTGGGGAGGAGGGGTGGCACATGAGGGGTGGGGCGAGAAGGGAACCAGGGAGGGGCTCCTTTGCAAGGGAAGGCAGAGAAATGGTTGTTTCTTAATGAACAAAACCAGATCATRTAATTGCCCATTGATTTTCTTTGTCACCCGCAAGGCGTGATTTCACAGGGGCGGACGGTGACATCATCCATTTCTTGTACTCACAGGTTGTACTCTGACTATCTCTACTTTGCAAGTTCGAATAAATCTGCCGACGACTTCCATGAGAAAGTGACAGAAGCTCTGCAGCTRTTCGAAAACTGCATGCTGGATTACTCGCTGCGCGCCTGCGTCTACAACAACACCCTCAACAACGCCATGCCTGTGCGTACGCCCCGCCCACCCCGTGCAGAGCGGCCACTTGGCTGTGGTTATTCGGGGGCACACTGTGGAGGGGATTTTAGGACAGAAACCCAGAGAGAAGCGTCTTAATGTGCAGATGCACTCGGCCATCTCTGAGCAGAGGCTGCTGCTGAGCCAATATCCTGGATGCAGAGGCTGGATGAACAATGAGGGCTCTCGCAGCAGGCTCCCTGCTTCCTCCCTGCCCACCACCCCATCACCTACAGTCCCCTCCCTGTGTGAGAGAACAGGATTGTCATTCAGGGAGGCCCTGACAGCACAGGCAGCAATGACTCAGCAGGGAGAGTGTTTGGAAGGGCCTCTCTGCAGTGCGCATTGTCCCTCTGGTTTTAGGATTCCCCACCGGTGACTTCAACCATCTTTGACAGGGTCTCCTCTGGGTCCTTCGTCTGTTCCCTGCCTTCCCTCAAGGCGCCATCCTGGAGGACCCAGGCTTTCTCCTGCACTAACAGTTGTTGGTGGCGACCTGGGCACCTTCCAGCTGGGTCCCAGGAGGCCAGGTGCTTCTCAGCAGGTGGCTTTCCTGGGTGAGGTCAGTCCACCGTCTGCCCAGAGTGTGGCTGGGCCAGCCTCTGCCTGACACGGCCATGTGGGGCATAGACTGCTGCAGAGGGCGGTGGCACTCACAGGAGAGGCTTCGTGCCCTCTGCCTCGTCACCCAGACTGCCTTATCCAAAGGTGGGGCACAGAGGTAGCAGGCCTGAACCCTAGCTCCCTGCCTGGACATCCCTGTCCATCAGGAGGGCCCCACTGCAGGACTCGGCCCCAGGACTCTGGCCCCCTGAGGACACTGGAGGGGCTCTGACCAGATGGGCACAAACCTTCAGAGAATATTCTGTCACTGTGGCCAGGTGCAGGGACAGGCTATAGGTACTCTTGAGGGACAGCATCCTGCACAAACACTTGACCACTTTCCTTCCAGAAGGTTCTCTAGTTGCAAAGCCAGGCTCTCTGGAAGTGATAAACCTCATTAGTCTGTTCTCCCTCCAGGGAGAAGCCTGCGAGATGCCAGGGAGAGAGGTTTGCAAAGCTCCGTGAGGCCTGCTCCTTTGCATGGGAGGCCATGCGGTCTCGTTTCTGAGGCTGACGCAGGCTCGTTCCTCGGAGCCCCGGCCCAGCTTGTGGTCTTTTTTATGAGCTGGTGTATATGTAGTGAGGAATTGTGGGCCGGAGGCAGCTAATGAATTTTGGAGACAACACTCTATTCCCTCTAATTGCTTTCCTTCCTCCCCATCTTCCTACATCGTTAGAAAAATAATGAAATGGAAAAAGAATAGCAAGATATGAAACTTGATAGCATCTGCACATATTTTTCAAATGTTTCTTCATCTGATTGTTAACTGAGCTCAGCAGTTCTGCTGAGGACCATATTGGGCASCGACACAGGTCTTCCAGAGGAAGGCCTTCCTTGAAGCCACTGACCCTGCACTCAAGGAGTTCAAGGTCAAGGGCAAGAAGCCTAAGTGAGCCTTAAGCTCTAGGAGGAGCCAGCGCTGGGAGGTGCTCCAGGTGGAGGGGTGAGCCAGAAGGTCAAACTGGACAAGAACCTTCTGTGTGGAGGGCTCTGGAGGCCTGAGCAGGGCTGGTGGTGGCCAGCTCACTGCTCGGCCAGCACATGCTGGTGGCCAGGTAAGGGGTGGGTGTGTAGGCCCTGTCAGGAGCTGTGTATCAGGAGGGCAGCAACGGGCATGGACAAGGGGAGAGGGGTGTAGACAGGGAGGTGGGGAGGAGGCTGCCCTCACTGCCCTCACTTTGATACCACTGCAAGTTCTGGAGCAGACCCCCAAACCACCAAGTTCACTAATGCTCTAGAAAAGCTCACAGGGCACACTGAAGGTGGCCATCTCTGTGGTCACGATTTATTTCAGGGAAAAGGTGCAGATTGAAGTCAACCAAGGGAAGAAGGGCATGGGCAGGGCCAGGGGCTCCAGTGCAGAGCCCTGTCCTCTTCTCCCCTGGGAGCCGTGGGCAGTGCTCCTGCCCCCCAGCCATGATGGATGCGTGATGGCACTTGTGGACTATTGTCACACCAAGCCTTGGTGCCCCGAGTTCTTACTGGGACTCTCTTACTCACTGCCTTGTGACTGTTGGTCTCCAGTCCTTCCAGAGGTCAGGAGTGATACCTACCTGTAGCCCAGAGCCCCGTCGTTAGTCACTTTGTTAGCCTGTCCATGGCAAATCTCTGACAAACCAAGATACTCCTGGTGGGCAGTGAGTTGCARGGCCTGAGATCACCTCCCAGCAGCCAAGGGCGGAGGCCAGGCCTTTCTCTGGGTTAACTCTTGACTGCACCGCTTGCAGTTTGGCACAAGAGAAAGGAACAGAAGGATGAGGACCAGGAAGTGAGTAGGTGGACAGGAGAAGGGCCTGGGGCCTGTGGGCTTCTTTCTGCACCAGTCATGTCCACATGTGCTCACGCTCATGGCCACGGATGTCCCTGTGGTGCCTGGGTTGTCTGAGAGCGTCTGYGGTGGATTTCCACAGCCTGTTGTGTGCTGGACATTGAGGTTGCTCAGGGAGCAGGGAAAAGGCTGGGCTGTCATGCAGAGAGCACATGCTCCCTTGGTTGCTGCAGCCTTGACCTCTTCCCCACACCCAGTGCTCACCAGCCACGTGGAGACATGGCGCTCCTGTGGGGCTGTGGTGAGGATTCAGTGCAGCCAGAGTGTAGGAATTCTCTGTCTACATAGTACAGACTGTTTGTGGAGAAGCCAGGGCACCTTGTGTTCAGGTACCTCTGTTGAAGGTGACTGTTGGCCCGGCTAACTCTTCCGGGTTGTTTTATTATGAAGGCCGTAATGCTTTTGGAAAAGTGCCTTAGAGAGCCAGGAACATGCCTCCTGAATAATGCCCTCCTCCTCTGTCCTAGGTGAGGCTCCAGGTCGGGCTGTAYGCCGTGTACCTTCTGGACTGGCTCACTGTTTTTAATAAGGATCAGTTTCTCATTCTGCGCCTGGAAGACCACGCATCCAATGTCAAGTACACCATGCACAGGGTCTTTCAGTTCCTGAACCTGGGTATGTGACATGGCTCTGACTGATGGGGCCCAGTGTGAGCCCCATGGAGGCTGGCTCTTGGGGAACTCTCTGGGTCAAGCCCAGTCATAGCAAGTTGGGCAGGGACGGGCTAGCTGGGAAGCCCAGGGAATTCCAAAGAGGCCAGGTCAGTGTCTGTTTATTGAGCACCAGCCCCTTGGGCACTGTGCCTGGCGTGGTGAGGGAGTCTCTGGGGAGGAGGAGGTGGCCTTCCAGCAGAAGGAGAGGACGAGGCCACTGCTGTACTCATGGAGTAACTGGTGGCGTGACATGGAGGAAGGTTACCATTGTCATGGAGGTGTGYGCTGACGACTGGGGACCCCAGCTGCTGAAGGACTGTAGAAGGTTCMTGGGAAGAAAGGCTGTGTGGTTGGAGCTTTGAAGGACCAACAGGGCAATGTTGGTGGCTGGAATATCCCTGCAGAAGGCAYGGGGTGTGGAGGAGGGAACTGGCCCTTGCACCGTCTCAGAGTCGCTGGGGATCCCTGGAGCCAGAGTTGGTGACTGTTGGCCACTGGCCGCAGCTCTGGGAGGGTGAGCCTACCCTGAGCTCGAGGAGACCAGCCCAAGTCCCCAGGGCACTTTGTGCCCCAGGCCACACTGCTTCCCTTGGCAATGGCTGGCAGGGACATACACATCCTTGAGTGTGTGTTGTCACCCAAGGAGAGCGGCCAAAGCCGAGGCAGGGTCAGAACGGGCTGATTCCTTCCCCGAGTGCCTCCTGTGGCCCCAAGGACCTTGCCTGGGAATTTTGTTAATTGAATATTTCTTAAAATAAATCTGCCTCACTGGGTCGTTTGATTTTCTTTCTCCTTTTGGGAGAGCTGGTAATGTGTTGGAGTGTGGTCACTTTTCTTTYGAAGGACTAGAACCAGTTATTCATTTTTAAAAATTTGGCCACCTGAAGACTCCCTCACCTGAATGAGCTTGGGTCTTGTCCTTAAGAGGGACAGTAAGGCCCACTTTTTATCTTGCATAACTAGGGCACTGGGGTTTGCTAAGGACCTTATCCAGATCCCAAGAGCCCGGGCTCCAGAGGCCTGACCAATGACGGGTGGGTTGAAGCCAGTGAGCATCCTGTGTCCCCATGCCTGGTYCCACGTGGCAGCCTCAGCTGGCAGCCCTGCCAGCTCGTCACAGGCGTCTCCTCATAATGTACTTGCTGTAGGTGGAGGTGTAGCCAGCGGGGACTCTGGGCACAGGTGGCCTGCACCCCCCCATGGCCACCTCACAGCCAGACACACAGGTGAAAAGTGGCCCTTGGCATCAGGAGCCCACGTGGCAGAATCCCAGCGGCTAGCCAGCAGGACACTAAGCCCCTGGACTGTGCCTGGCAGGGTCCRCAGTGCTCAGAACAGGCTGCTGCAGGGAAAGCAGCCCTTTAAGCAGAGCTGGAGACAAGTCCCCGAGGTGAGCCTGTCCTGAAGCCCAGAATTCCTTTGCTGTTTCTTAATGGTATTTCCACCTCCCTCCCCCATCTCCTCCAAATGGATCCAGCCAGGAATCTGAAGCCCCAAACACATTCCTCTTGAAGGAAATCCCTTTCTCSGCACAGAGCAGAGCTGGGATTTTTGCACAGTCCCCTTTGCCGCTTGCCCTGCCTCTGGCCTCATGGGATTCTTTGCCTTTTATTCCAGGGCCYCTAAGTGAGAAGCAAGAGGCCTTGATGACCAAGAGCCCTGCGTCCAATGCACGGCGTCCAGAGGACCGGAACCTGGGGCCCATGTGGCCSGTCACACAGAAGATCTTGCAGGACTTCTATGGGCCTTTCAATGCTCGGCTGGCGCAGATCCTCGCCGATGAAGCKTTTGCGTGGAAGACACAGTGAGACCTTAGTCCTGGCTGTAGGCCCGGGGCTCAGCGACCCTGTCATTGCCATGACTTGAACCGTCTCCCTGGGTGGGGAACTGTTTTACACAGTGTGGAGAAAACCGGGAGACTCCATCTTCTTTTCCTCCCCAGGCACCTGTTAATTAGAACCATTCCRGAATTTCCTTTGTGAAGTTCAGTAGCTCAGCCCTTGACCCCACAGAGCCCCTCCGGAGGCCGCTGGAAGCTGCAGGTGGGCAGGAATTGAGTTCTGCTCTGTGAGCACCCGGAGCCCTGGGGAGGGACGGGCTTGCAGTGCAGAGAGGAGGCCTGGGGAGGCCATGGCCCAACTCTGCTCAGCCACCTCCAGGACAGCCTGAATCCAGGGTTTGACAGTCCTGGGATCCTGTGGAGCACCAGCACTCTCGCCTTGGACTGGCCGGAACRTACACTTCTCATGCTCACGGGCAGTTTTGCAATACTCTTGATTGGATCGCTCACCCCATCTGGGCAGAGTAYGGAACCTCTTTTGAGAATGGAATCTCTTTTTCTTTTCTTCTTACTCCCAAGTCAGCTCTCCAGTGACATCAGAAATAAACCCTATTCACAGTTTCCAAGAGAAAAGAATTGTTTTTGGCAGCTGTTCATCTCCAGCCTCGAGTTCTGCCCTTGTAGACTTCATGTTTAACTAGAAAATGGATGCGTTAACAAACCACTTCCTGCATTGGACTAGCCCTAGCTCTCCCTCCTGCCTCTTTAGATGTTTTCTCAAGAAATTCCGTTTATATTTGGAAGGGGAGTTTTTGCTGATTGCCGGAATCCTGCATCCTCAAGGAGCTGAGCCCTCTGTGGAGTCTCAGTGACTGAAGTCCTGAGGCATRCAGGGCCTCAGAGAACTGGAGGGGCTCAAGTGCTGGGTGCTTGCTGGCTGCAGGCTCTGCCCCTCKCGGAACCTCTCTGGAACGAGTTCGTTATCCGAGTTCTCCAGCTCCTCTCTCATTAAGGAGCTGCAAGATTCTGGTATCCTGATTCAGAAACAATGCACAGGCTAAACTTGGGCTTGATGTAGTATGCTGGAATTTGGAATGAGATTGCTAGGAGCAGTGTTCTTAATGGAATTTTCCAGTACTYTAGGCAGCTTTGGTTTACAATGGATGGGCCGAAGGTCTTGTCACTTCTTGGAAGTCACAGGGAAAAGAATGCTTGGGCCTGCTTGGCATTCAGCCYGAGGTGGGACAAGGAAGCTTTGCACTCCTGTGGTCAAGGGAAGCTTCCTGTGAACCCGTGTTCTCGGATTGAGGTCCCATCTTCTGAGTCAGAAAGTGCAAACACTACATACCCATCTGGCGCTCGGGCGTGAAACAGCTGGGCTTTGGTGGCACCAGGATGTGCACTTGCTCAGCCATCTGACCCTATTGCTATCGTCTTCCTGCCACTGCAAAAGGGATGCTGAGCTCATTGTCCTGCGACCATGGCCTGGGGTACGGCTTGCTCTGAGCACTGCTGCAGCCGGGGCTGTTTCTGCTACTGAAGGCGCTGTGTGTCCTGATCACCACTTGCAGGGACAATCCCCACTTTTCTCTTGCAGAAGGCCCTCACAGCAGCCGCCAGAGGGGAAGGCTGGCCTGAGCGCCRGATTCTTTAGGGAGATATCACTTCGGAGTGTGTGTGTGTATTTATTTGGAATACAGAGTGTGTGTGCGCACGTGTGTGGGCGCATTTGCTGAGTGGGTTCCCTTCAGTCCTGTTGCTGACGAAGCCTCCTCTCTGGACACAATGCCTTTACAGATTAATTTCTCTGCCAATTAACTTGTCATTTCCAATACATATTTTGCTATTCAACGTCAGCCATGATTTCAACAAGGGGTTTTTCTTATGCACTCCTATGCATGTGAATAACATGTCGTGTAACTCTGCTTCTTACAGAAGTATTACGAAGGTATTATTTCCAATATTATTTGGTTCATTACCGATCTCTTTTGTGTATGCAGGCCCCCTCTCTGTGCCGCCCAGTGCCATCCAGACATGGTTTTTCCCTCCAGGCCTTTCTCCAGGGGCCAACTGTTGCCTTTGCTCTCTCTGCGTCGAGGCCTGGCTCCTGTTGACAGCACAGATGCCATCCTTGGGCAGGTGGCTTTCTAGCCCATCACCCCAGACCAAAGCGAAATGGAAGGTTCCTCACGACCTGGTACTGAAGACCCGGCACACGGGTGTGCCCACTGCAGCCTCTGGTTGTGTGAGGTGTCGCGTGAATCAYGGTGGTGTTGTGCTTCTATTAAGATTTAACATGATTAAAGATGGACCCATGTGACTGGTGCCTACAAGGTGCGTGTCCTCCCCGTCTCCAGCACGCCATCTGTTCTTTCCACRGTGTCCTGTGTGGGTGAGCAAGTGGTGGACAAGGTTGGCGTCTCACTGGCCGGAGGTGCCTGCTCACTGTGGGAAGGGGCTTATGGAGGGCAGCTGATGAGAGGTGGCCATGGCCACACCCAGGATCAGAAGAAAGCTCAGGGGCAGAGACCAGGACTCAGGTGTTTCCAGGGCCTCCTGCCAGGGTCCAGCTGTGGGTAAGTCAGGGTAGAGGTGGGCCCTATCCAGGGTGGGCCTCCATCGTCTTCCTTCTTTGGAATCTGCGTCAGGTGACAACAGGCCTCACTCCTTAGCCCTCYTTGCCCCTGAGCCCTGGTGTCTCTGGGTGCACGTCATTATCACTAGACACTTGGTGTTCTGCTGAGATGTGGGCAGGCCTGAGGGAGGGCAGGGTGTCCTGGGGCTGGCGTGACAGGTACCACCAGCTGGGTGGCCTGAACAGCATTCTGAGGCTGAAGTTCAAGGTGGAGACACCAGCAGGTGGCTTTTCCGGGGGGCTTCTCTCCATAGTTGTGAGGCCACTCTCCTGCTGGCYCGGGACGTGGTCCTCCCTCCATGCATGGCCTCCTCCTCTGGGCAGGACACAGATCGGATCAAAAGCCACCTCAGTGTCCTCATTTCAACTACATCACCTTTTCAAAGGCTTTGTCTCCAAACAGCCATATTCTGAGGTGCTATCATTGGGACTTCAACACTTGAATCTGGGGAGGGGACACAAATCTGCCCCAYACTTGGGGCTCTAGTAGCCTGGGCCATCCATGGCACGACAAGGACTCTGGGTGATTCTCCAGTTCCGGGAAGACAACGGGATTGTCACCTCTTTCCAGCACCGATCCCATGGTGGGACATTAAAGGTGGGGTGCCAATGGCATTTGGGCCTGGAAAAGCCCTCTCCCCCGGCCCCCGCATGGGCCAGGAAGGCTTTGCTTGCTGTATACCTGCATGAGACAGAGGGCGGTGGGAATCAGAGCAGGACAGGCCAGGTGTGTGGCTGAGGGCTGGTGTGTGACTCCTCAGCTAGAGCTCTCCTGAAACTCTCTGTGCTCAGAGGTCACCCTCCCCCAACCGGCTCAGGAAAGACTCCCAGGAGGACCGTGCACCTCCCGACAGCAGGCTGCAGGCCTCCTGTGGGAGAGATGCTGTATGGCCAGCACTTCTGTGGACAGGCAGGAAAACGAGGCTCTGAGGAGTTCCCAGAACTCCTCAACCAGCTCCCCTGCTGGGCACCCGAGGGCCAGCGTGTGGGTACTGCCTGGACAGGAGAGCAGCGCCTGGAGCTGGAGAGCTTCCCATGGCTGCGGTCACAAGTCACCCCCATCTCGGTGGCTTAAAGCCACACAGGTTTCTTACCTGAGRTTCTGGAGGCCACAGTCCCTGCTCAGCCTCCCTGGGCTCAGTCGGGCTTCCTCTCTGAGGAGACTCTGTGTCCTGGCCTCTCCAAGCTGCTGGAGGCCACAGCCTGGCTCTTGTCCCCTTCCCTGTCTTTCTGCTGTGTCCCCCTCCGCCTCTGCCTCCCTCTGCYTTCGGGACCACACGGTCCTCCCTGACTCACTCTCTGCTTCTTGAGAGCACGCTCCTGATGACCCAGGGCCCTGGATATCTGGGCTCATCCCCCTCCTCAGGATCCAACCTGCAGACTCCCTTTTGCCAAGCGAGGGGAGGTGTTTAGGGGCCCTGGGGGTTGAGCTTAGATGTCTGCGGAGGCCACTGTGCAGCCCACGGCAGGAGGCTGGCACAGTGAGCTACAGGACAAGTCGGGAGGGGTGCCCAGGGCCATGTGGGCCGTGGCTGACGTTGGAGGGCCGAGCTCCTGGGTGTGTGCTCCTGGGTGTGTGTCCTTCTGTCCCGTGACTGGCATCAGAGAGCCTCAAGTTCACATCATAAGCCTTCGGTGTACGCCACTCCCCAGAAGATGGCCTGGTTTGCACGGTGAGCAAGATGCCCGCGCTGCCCGGCACTCTCCCCAGCTCTGGAAGGARGATGTCCGAGAGCTTGCAGCTCAGTCTTGTTCCTCACTTTCTGCGAAGTTCCAGCAGTTCCCAGGAGGTCTCTAGTTTCTCCAGCTGCTGTTGAGTTGTGAAAGTCTCAAGAATAGTTAGAATGTTTTCCTGTCCCCAGGGGAACTTCAGGGGCCTGCGACTGCCTGGGCCCAGCCTCATGCTTTGCGAGGCTGACCTCCAAGCTCACTGGCATCGGTTCTGCTGATGGCCCCAGGCTGGCCTGGCCAGCACCTTGCTCCTCCCTGTCCTTCCCTGAGCAGACTTGCTGTTGGGCAGGTCCCTGGCAGAGACCAGGGTGGGAGCTATGTGTGGTCTGGGCCCTTGGGTCTGCGAGTCGCCATCCTTGGGGAGCCTGCATGGTGTAGACTGGGCAGGAGAGCAGAGGCGGAGACCCGCAGGCATCCGTGCACCCAGGGAGTTGAGTGTGGCAGAGCAGTGGTGCCCCTGTCCTCCACTGGCCTGGCCTGCCCTGAGCTGCCCCTGTGTTCCTCCTCGCTGCTGGGCCTGTGAAGCAGAGGAGGACTCCATTTCATGCTGGTAGCACGTGCCAGCTGCCCCCGAGTGCTGTGTCTGGGGTACAGAGAAGGCTGTGAAAGGGGCCTGCTCTCCCTGGTTAGAAAGCCCCTGGCTGGGGCAGCATCCAGGACCCCAGGCTCCCACAGGGCCCTTGGTGAGTGCAGAGGCTCTGGGGCTCTGGGGGACCTTCTGGGCTGCACCTACAGCTGTTTGTGCTCCAGAAGGTCCCTTGAGACGCAGGTCCCTGTCAGTTTTAGAAGTGGGTGTCAACGCTGAACCTGGGCCTCCCCAGACACGTGACTTGCCCCAGGCAGCGCCATCGTGAGATGGCAACCAGAGGAAGGAGACCCCCCCAGCAGCTCAGAGCAGAGGTGGGCGGGGTCCACCACCTCCCCTTCCATCTAAAAGGCCAGGCAATTTGTACCCCCTGAACTCTGCCCTGAGAAGGACGACATGGGAAAGGGGAGACCTGGGTCTGGCACCAGGTGAGCTGAGGTCAGGTTCCCCCGTGCAGGGCCTGGTATGGCCTTCCCATAACCTAGGGCACAGCACTGGCCCTTTCTGTACCCACGGGTCTCCAGTGCTCATGAGGGGGTGTCAGAGGTTACAGGTAAACACTGAAGGTCAGAGAGGTTGCACGCCTCCCTGAGATCCATAGCACAAGTGTCCAGAATAAAAGCAGAATGTCAACTCAGACCTTTTTACTTATAATTTCAAAGTCAATGCTTTGAACCTTGGTGCTCCATACACCGTGCCACCCTCTGCACCCTGGGCCCCCTCCTCAGCAGCCTGTCAGCATCTTGAATGTCAAGACTCCCTCCCCACCCCCAGCCCCCATTTCAATGCCCAGTGCTCTACTGGGCCAAAGCTTTCTGCCCGTCCAGGGGTCTAGGTGTGGCCTAGAGGCAGCCGAGGCGGAAATGAACATGACTCTGCTCTTCCAAGGCTCCCTGCCGAGATCCAGGTGGCAGAGGTGCCGTCCCTGCCCTGGGCTGCCTGCAAGTGGCCTCAGCCTGAGGTGCAGGCAGGCTGCTTCTTGCTTCCGAGTCCCCTGAGACCCGAGTCGCAGCAGAAGCAGACTGCCCCACCCTCTGGGCTCAGCCTCAAAGGCCCCGGGGCACACAGCCCAGCTGGGAGTCATACRAACAACTAATATTTATTTTCTCATCAAACATTTCCTGAACACCTACTGTGCACGAGGCACTGGAGTCTGCCTGTCCATCTGCCTCAGGGACCCAGACCAAGGAGGGCCAGGGCTGCAGCTTGTGGCCCAACCATCCCCAGGCAGGGCAAGGCTGACCCCAGCTTTAGGCCCCCCTGGGTCCCCCACGCTGTGGTCCTCAGGGAAGTCACCATGCTGTTGTTTTATGTCCTGGAATCTCATGGCCCCTCATGCACCCTCAGCCTCCATCATTCTCTCCTGGCTTGAGATGGTCGAGGGTTTCCCCTGAAGGGCCAGACAGTGGGTCAGACTAGAAGCTCTTAGGTACTAATTTAACAGCAGGGACAAGAAATGTCCTCAGAGTCACCGAGGAAATTCTAAGTATGATAATGGAGCACAGTGGTTGGTTACAGGTCTGCTCCCAAGAAGACAGGAATTCCCCTGAGGGGGTTTCACTTGCGGTCAGTAGTGTACCCGGTCAGATGGCAGTGTCACTGCAGATGCCATGCTTAGCACAGCCTCTTGTCCCTGGGGACTCCAGTGGATGCCCCCYGCCACATCTGAGCCTCTCAGGACGTGACTTGTCCTCCAGCCTCCTCGGTGGCCTCCTCTTCTTTCCGCGTCTTCAAGGTCAAGGTGCCCGTGGTCCAGGCCTCGGCCTTCTTGCAGGAACGCCTGTCCACGGAGGGTCTCCCGCACTCCCAAGCCTCTGCTGCCTCTGGCTGGGGACCCCACGCTGTCCCCCCCTGCAGTGAGGGGCAGCTTCTCCAGCTGGAGTGACAGAACCAGTGTCTGTCCSTGTCCCCTGGCCACCCGTGGCCCCACCTCAGCCCCCACAGGCAACAGGGGCAGCCCAAGTCCTGAGCTGCACCCAGCACTRTTCCCCTACTCTGAGCCGCAGCCCACCTGCCTCCCTCCCACCTCGTGCTCCAGTGTCCACCCAGCCTGACCATGCTGACCCCGCCCCTCTCCCAGGCTCCTCTCCTCCCACCTGAGAGACCCCCGTTCTGCTGCCCCCTGATCCCGACCATCGCCCCAAGTTAACCCCGGTCCTTGTTCATATTGATGAGCTTTGATGTCTTGGGGATCTGTGGGCCCCTGAGGGACGTCCCTCCCAGAGCTGGCTGAGACCCCAGAGAACGGGTCACCTACAAGGCGGCCAGAGTGAAGCCAGGTCCCACCATCTCTGTGGAGCTCCTGGGGCCCTCCCTCGCCCCTCAGGGCCTGGGGCCAGACCACTGGGTCCTGCACCCTGGAGCCTGGTGAAATAGA